CCTCCACCACCTCCCTACCCCACCAAACTTCAAAACTACACACACACACACACACACACACACACACACACACACGGAATACTATTTATGTTGGGCAATTCCTCCTGGGTGTGGCGCTGCCCTGGAATGTGGTTGATAGACCCAATGAATGACACTCCATTGAAGGAAGTGGATTTTCCTCTTTCCCAGACATTTTCAATTGCAAATAGCTTCTTGGTTAGGGGTGGAACTTGTTCTGCTTTGCCTTCTCTGTGCTGGGATTTCTGTCTGGCTTGATCTTCTGCAGTGCGCCCCCTGTGTGCTGCCACAGTGTCTGTGAGCCCGTAGGTGCACAGTCCTGTTGTATCTGGAAGACACTGTTTCATCACCTCTGGCACTTACAGTCATTCCACCCCTTCTTGCATAGATCCCTGAACCTTAAGGGGAGGGGTCCAAATAAAGGCATCCTATTCTGGGCTGAACGTTCCAAAGTCTGTCACTTTCCGCACATTGTCTAATTGTGGGACTCTGTTTAAATTCTCATCTGTTGCAGGAAGTGTCTCTGATAAAGGTTGAGCAACCTATTGATCCGGCGTTCTGGCTGGAACTCTGGGTCCAAACTCCAACTATGTTCGCTCAGCATCATAGTGGTGGGGGTGTGGCAGGTGAGCAGGCAGAGGAGAGACTATGGAGGTCTTAGGGTCAAGCTTTGCATGGTCCTGGTCTCAGGACCCAGTGCTTAGTGAACTGACTCTGGAAATTCCTCCTTCAAGGTCTGGTTGGAATTCTAGATTCAGCCTCCAAGCAGTCTTTATTACATATTTGTGTGTGTGTGTGTGTGTGTGTGTGTGTGTGTGTGTGCGCGCGCGCGCGCGTGCATGTGCATGTACAAGAACATGTGTGAAGGGCTGAGGTTGATGTAGGGTCTTGTTCAGGAGTTTTGCACCTTACCTTTGAGACAAGGTCTCTTGCTGAACATGGAGCTAAGTCTCTCATTGAAATGGTTTGTCTAGGAACTCTCAAGGGTCCATCTTATCGCTACTTCCTATTCACTGAGATTGTAGGCGTATGGTACTGTACCCAGAGGTGGTGTATTCTATTATTTTTTGGTCTGCCTTCCTTCCTTCCTTCCTTCCTTCCTTTCTAGGGATATAAACTCTCAGGTTGTCTAGTTTGGCTGAGCCACTTCTCCAGTTATTTTATGCCCTTTAGATGAATTAGCTGTCTGTTGTAGAAGCTTTTTAGATTTCATTTCAGATGAAAATGAGTCTTGACTGCCAACCCTCAAGACATTTTTTGTTTGTTTTTATATTTATATGTGACTTAAAAGATATTTCAGTGTGTGTGTGAGGGTGTGGGTGTGTTTGTCTGGGTGTGGGTGTGTGCGCGTGTGCACGCGTGCCATGGTACATACGTAGAGATCAGAAACTAGCCTTCCACTTTGAAATCACTGCATACACATACTAGCTTTTCTGGGAGTTTCTGAGATTCTCTCTTCACCTCTGTCTTGCAATGGGAGCCCTGGAATTACAGATATGCCCCTGTGCCAGGGCTCTAAGGATCTGAGTTCAAGTCCTCACATTTGGTGTGACAAGTGCTTCTGTTCATTGTTCCTTCTCCTTTATCCTCATGTGCGATTTCCTTGTTTTTCTTTTTCTCCTCCTCCTTTTTGTCGTTCTGTTTTGTTTTTTCAAGACATAGTTTCTCTTGTGTAACAGCCCTGACTGTCCTGGCCCTCACTCTGTAGACCTGGCCAGCCCTCAAACTCAGATCAGCCTGCTTCTCCCTCCTGAGTGTTGGGATTTAGGGTGTGTGCCTCCATGCCTGGGGTGATTTACTTTGGATTGGTTTATAAATGAGATTCTGTCTAACAAAGAGCATGAATGAAATTTTAGGGGATTTAGAGATACCCCCTGCCAATCCCTTAGCAAGCTGTGTTTCCTGTTTTACGCAGGCTTTGGGGAGCTGCCTCTTAGAAGCAGGGGAAGCCTGGCTGCAGGGCAGGTTGACCTCAGTATCTTCCTTATATTTTGACTTAGATTTCAGAACAGGTGCTCACATTTACTAAGTGAAAGAACTGATTTCCCTTAGAAAATTCTAGCTTCCTCTTTATTTCAGCTTATTTTTCATCATTTACTCATGTAAATGTTGCCTGATTTTTTTCTTAGTTTGGGAAGCAGGCTGCCTAAGTAGGACCCTTCATTCAATGGGAATGCAGATGCCCGTCTTCCCACCTGGTTACAGTTGGGTCGAGGTCCCTATCAAATAATCTTTGCTGAGCAAGACTCTCCCCATGGTTTCTGAAAATTCTGAGAGGAGCGTGAAGAGTTTCTCACCAGCATGCTTTTCTTCTGTTCTGTGGTGAGTGACCATCAGTCCCTCGAGCTCCATCATAGACATTATCTCTCCATCTTCACAGCCACCATTGCAGGTGTGGACAGCCACAGCTGTGTCTGAGCTGAACCTAAGCAGCACTAGTGGCTTTACAGGCTCCTGCTCCTCTACCTCGGGGTCATTCACACCTTTGCTACCAGGTGTCCCTTGAAGTGGCATCTGTCACCTTTTCTAACAGTTTCCATCCATTGTGGTATCCTCAAATTCCACTCCCCTGTCCCCCACTCCCATCTACAACCCGCAGCATAGCTGCATTTAGGAGACTTGTTGGCTCCAGTATTGAGGTTCCTTGTGCCCTCTTTGATTAGGCATGGATCCATTCATTTGGTAGGTACATGGTTAACTCTCCGTTTTTATGCATTGGGCACCAGCAAGCCACATACCCTTGTCAGACAAAGAATTCTGCAGAAGTACGTTAACCAGATTTTGATCCATGTACAAAAAATGGTTTCACTGTGTCATCCCTCAATATGAGAAGGCTCTGGGAGGCACCATGTGACCAGGGGCAAAGAATAGCTTGGCAAGAAAGAGAAAAGAGCCTGCAGAACACCATGTGCCACAGAAAGAATTCTTGATCTCTGGTCTGTAAATATACAAGAGACAGGACAGGGCGATTCCAGCAACACTCAGAGGCACTTTGGTAGCCGCATGGGAGACTGTTGTACTAAGGTAGCATGGTGTCTTGGTTATCCCTGCCGAATCTGCCCTTACATTCCCTCTCCTGATCACCCCTTTGTGGATGTCCAACACTGCTGTTGTTTTGGATGCTGGGGAGTGAGCCCAGGTCTAGGAAAGCACCGCCGAGCTGATGGCCCCAGCACAGACATGTTGAGAGATCTTGCTTTACGTTTTTGCATCCTTCTCTGGATTTGTGTGGAAGCAGTGTTACATCAGGGAGGAGAGAGGAAGAGTGGGGGAGGGTGGATTCATGGTGGAGGGGTGGAAGACTCCTGAGGTGTAAGACATCTCAAGCACACGGTGTGGTTGGCCCGTATGTATTGTGGGTTGGTGGTTCATTAGCAAAGGCAGGGTACCAGATTTGATCCGCCTTTTGTTTTTCTGTCTTTCTCCTTCATTGTTATGATGTCATATAGGTCTTCCCGGGTCTTAACTTACTTGGCAGATGAATTTTTAGTTGCCTCTCTCCGACTGCTCAGCACTAGTGTTCCAAGGGCTCCATTCCTGGTCATCACCTCCTTTTGTTCTTCCTGGCTAACTCTCCACATGCTACCGTCTGTCACACCGACCTCCAGCCCTCTGCTAACTAGCTCTCAAGTCTCAGCTCAGACCCAGCCTTTCTCCCATTGGCCATCTGATTTGCTGCCTAGGCATGTTGGACACGGCTCTTCATCTCAGTTTATGTTACTAGTGACCCAAACTCAGACTTTTGTGTCCTTGGCTCAGTCTTCCTTCTATGCCACACCTCTATCCTCAGGTGTTCCTCAACCTTTGACCTCTCACCTGCTGCCAGTGTGCTGGTGTCGGTTACTTTTAGTAAGTAGACCTAGGAACGATTTCTGTTTTTTAACTGAAGACCAAGTGCAGTGCCCACTGTGTAAAAGATACTAAAATACTAGACTGAGTGAAAGGAGTTGATGACTGGATGGATGATGAAAAGTTGACTAGCCAGTCTGAGGTTACCTTTCAGAATGAGGCTGTTACTTTGTATCAGAAATAGGGAATTATTTTTGCTCAGTAAAACTGCAGCTTGAAAAACACTTGGTTGTTTTGTTTTAGAAATATTTCACCACATAAAACTTCCTTCTTTTCTATCTCTGGTCACATTTATAAATACATACACTTGAAGGATAGAATTACAGTGATTTTGGTACCTGGTTATTAGAAGATAACACCTCAGTGGCTCCCGTGGTTGTGTTCTGGGTACAGCTGGGCAATATTTCCACAAATATCAGAAGTAATTGATATTAATGACCTGCCTACTTAGACTTGAACTTGTGCTTTGGTAATCTGCATGCTGCAGCTTCCAGAATCTTAACATCTTTTTCCTTTGTGTGTCCATTGTCATTCCTCTGTGTTCTGTTTGTTTTGTTTTGTTTTGTCATTCCTTGGTGTTCTGTTTGTTTTGTTTTGTTTTTTTCTTTAAAGACAGAGTCTTTCACTGGTGTGGAATCCAACAAGTCAGCTAGACTTGCTGTTCGGTGAGCCCCAGGGATCCACCTATCCTGCCTTCCCAGCACTGGGATTACAAACTCATGCCATGCCTGGTTCTTCTCTGTGGGTTCTGGGGATTGATTTAGGTCCCCATGCTTGTGTAGCAGACTCTTTGCTGACTGAGCTATCTTGCCAGCCTCCCGTCCAGATTTATATATACACAATCAGGGTCTTGATACATAGCCCTCACTAGCCTGTACCTCACTGTGTAAGTGGTCTGAAACTTGTACTGAGTTTCAGGATTATGTCACCGTGCCTGGTTGGAGTCTGAGCATTGTAGACCAGCTGTGCCACCTTCTGAACTTAACTGTGAGCAGGAATTGCCAGAGCTTGAACTGAAGTATATTTCAATGTCAGACTGAGTAGAAATTGCCCACTTGAAGCTTCCAGTTGAGACAGTTTTCTATTAAGGGTCAGTTTTAACCTTGTTATTTTCCCCTTTCTCTTTCTAACAGGGGGAATCCCGTATTCTCAGAGTAAAAGTTGTTTCTGGAATTGACCTCGCCAAAAAGGACATATTTGGAGCCAGGTATGTTTGATTTTTTTGTGTGTTTGGGGGAACGGGACAGGATGGTCTTCTGGAGAAGTTGGTAAACTTTTAGTGGGTGGTGTTGGGGATTGAACCTAGGGCTTTGTGCATGTCAAGTTCTCAACATCTAAATACATTCCCAGTCCCCCTTTACTTCTTCTGTTGAGACAGCAGCTCACTAAGTTGCCTAGGCTGGCTTTGAACTTGTGGTCCTCTTGTCTCTGCCTCTTGGATCCTGGAGTTAATAGGCCTGAGCCAGAAGGCCTGGCTGGTAAAAGCTTTTCAAAGTTAGATGCACATCTTTCCCACCTTCAAGGCTTTTGCAGTGCCACCTGGGAGGTTGGTTTAGTGCCTAATGGTGATGCAGGTAGTCAAGGGTAGTATTTGCGTGGGTATCTAATTGTGATCTCTAACTGTATCTCCTTGGTAGCTAGCCGATTCCCCCATGTACGCTGCTGACTGCTTGAGGATAGGTTCTAGTGGAATTTTCTTCCTCCCCTCAGTTTGGGAATATGACTCTGCTTATTTTTAACACATCCGCTGGTTGTGGCTCCATGGATTCTGGCAACTCTGAATCAGAAATATTTGGGGAAAAAATGATGTTGGTATCGATCATGTAGAGTGTTTTATCCTCATCTGATACTATTTCTTAAGCAGTACAGTACAACAGTGATTATATAATGTTTAGGCTAAATATTAGGAGAGATATAAATGTGATTTAAACTATATGGGAAAATATGCATTGGTTATTTGCAAACACCACAGCATAAAATTTTATATAAGTAACATGAGTATCTATCTGAGATTTGGGATCCTTGGGAGGAACTGGAACAATTCTCTACAGATGCGGAGGGAAGGCCTTTCTTGGTTTTGTTTTTGTGCTTTTAGTTCCTAACTAGGATAATCTAAAACCATATTCTGTTTTTTAAACTGAATTTCCTTACACATGTAGTTGACGTACAGGGATGGGGTGACGTGGGTGATGCTGGCGATTGCTGTTTTCTTACTGATGCCCTGGCTGAGTGGCAGTGTGAGCCTTCTGTGTGCATTAGCGCTTGCGTTTCCCATACTGCTCGTGATACTCCCTGGCGTTTTTGGCCACTTATGCTCTCCCTAGGGTGTGGCAGTGTGTTATGAGCAGGGGACAGAATGATGGTGAAACAGCTTGAACAGATTTGAGCCAGACTTTGGAGCACAGTGCTCCTGAGCTTTGACCCAGTTGAGACCTAGCAGTGTTCAAGCCTAGCTTTCTCATTTATTGTTGAGGTGGTTTGACAGTGTGCACAGAAAGCCCAGCTGCTCCCTAACACCACCACCAGACTGGCAGTTTTAGAAGAATAAGTAGACAACATTCTATCCCTTCTCCAAGGCTCTTTTTATTTTGTGTTGGAATGCTCTCGAGGGCAGGTGGCTGCCAAGGAGTCATGTCATCAGGTTCCTGCTGGCCCCCTGTGTTTTAGCCCTATGGCCATCTTTTGTCTGTACCTCTGCCTGGCAGGAGACCCTGCATGCTGAGGCCTCTTCCCATGTCGCTCTCTGACTTCCCCCACCCACCCAGAGAAAGCATCTTCTGCCTGTCAGTGATGTCGCCCCCCTGTTGTCTAACTGACTAGATGTCACACACCACTGAATGCTGCCTATTAAAAATAATAAGTTTATAGACTGAAACCTAGAACTGAAGCAAATGTTGGAGGGTTGTTTACAGACCTTTCCTTCTTTCCCTCTAGCTCTCTGGATGTGTCCCAGAGAGGCTTGAGTGTCTGAAAACCTGTCCCCTCCCGGCACTGACAGTAGCCTGTGCTGTGGGGGATGAGTGAGAGGTGCACACTCCACCCAGATGGTTTTTTCCTTTGACTGTGAACTCAAACTGCAGGGTTGGCCGCCTGCCTATGCACCAGCAGAGAGGAACCTGCCTGGAGGTGGGGACAGGAAAAGCCCGTGTTTCCCTTCTTCCTTTCCAGGGCAACCCTGTCACTGGTTCCAGGAATCCCCACTCCTGCTAATCTGAAATGACACCCTTTCCATGAATCCTGGAATTCTAAAGTTCCATCCCTATCAAAACACCACCTTATATCCTGCCCCCTCCCATTCAGCTCAGATGACCTTTAGAAAACTATTTTTAATTGTGCGTAGGTGTCCGCGTGCCATGCTGTGCATGCAGAAGCAGGAGGACACCTTGGTAGAGCTGGCTCTCTCCTTTCACCTTTAAGTGAGTTTGGGGGCCTGTGCTCAGGTGCCAAACTTACAAGTGTCCTGTAGCCAGGCCCTTCTGCTACCCTTTTTCCTTTCTTAACCCCTTAACTGCCACAGACAACACAGTGGCTTTTCAGCGTCTGTTCCCGATTATCTGGAGGCTTCTAATAGTTCCTTCACTTATTAGTATTATTATTTCACATATTAGTATTATTATTTTACTTATTATTGAGTTAAGTTATTCAGCAGAGGCATTTTAACACAGGGCGCTGCCCCTCCTTCCCTTCCTTCCAGGAGATCTCTGCTCTTAGAAGTGGGATTTAGAAAGTCCTCTTGCCAATGGGGTTTTCTTTTCCCATTTTTTCTTTTTTGGTCTTGTTTTAACCTAAGTCCTTTGTATTAAAAAAAAAAAATTAGCCATGGACTGGAGAGAAGATGCCGAGGGCCAGGTTGAATTTCCAGAACCTACACAGTGGCTCACAACTGTCCACAACCCCATTTCCAGGGTCTCCAGCACCCTCTTCTGAATTCTTCAGGCACCAGGCCTATGTGTGGTATACACACACACATATATATACACACACACATGCACACACACACGCGCGCACAATACATACATGCATATCTGTACACATATGTTCATACACATATACATGCGTGCACACATACACATACATATGTATACACATGCACATATGCACCCACACACAGGCAAAACACTCAATTACATAAAACTAATTAAGTAGGTTTTAAAAGACATTTTTTTAAAAAAACTGAATTTGCAGTCCTGTTTCTTAGTTTGTCAGTAAGATCTGGTTAAAATTGGATTCAGAATTTTAGAGGAACTCAGGAAATTTCAGTCCTAAATTCTTCCAATCAGTATGAAAACAGGGACTTTTCTTAGAGAGTAGATAAAAAGGAAGATGCAAGTTAGAAAGACAAAGAGTATAGCCTGATGGATCAGTGCCAGGAAGGGACCCAGAAATGGAGGGCCCCTCCATTCTAGACCAGTAAATGAGAATGCCCCACCACCTTTCTCCCCTCCCCTCTCCTCTTCTCTGAACATGAAGGACGCGGTGGTTGGTCCAGACTGGGGCAGGTTGGCATCTTGCTCTGGGCTCCTACTCTTACCATCAGAGCGACAGGACCCTGGACTGGAGACTCCAATCTGTACTGGCACCAGCAGCAGCCTGAGGAATTCTTTTCAGAACCTGTGTGCCCGTGGAGGTCAGAGGATAGCTGTTCTCTTATTTAGTACAGGTCTTAGGTATTGAGTTACCATTAGCCTTGATGGTAGGCCCCCTCTGAGCTGTCTCCTGACCCTGGAGTCGGAATCTGTTAGGAAGACATTTTAACAAAGAGTTAAACCTGAGGATTAGCAGAAAGAGGCAGGCAGGGGAAGTGACTAGGCTCAAAGGGTTTCCAAGACTCTTTCCCCCACTTCTGTATTTTGGGGTCATAAAGTGGCTCCTGGGATGCCTTGGGTAGAATAACAGTCTGATGAAACTTTGGGTACAAGGGTAGCACAACGAGGTAAAGATATGTCCTTTGCCATGGGGTTTCCTGTGAGAGTATCCGAAAATTGCAGGTTTTCAGCTGGGCAGGGATTAAAGCATCGTTGGTCACCTGTGCTTAGGCTATAGCCATGGACCATGGCTATGATAGCATTCTTCCCCTGAAGTATCTCTGTACAGCAGCATTGTCATGTCTTGTGTAGATGACCTCCAAAGCAAATATTGTTAATGTACTGAAATTCTTGACTCTTCAACCAGACTCTGGGGTGAAGGGGCCTTTTCCTTTCCGGGGTTCCCCTATTTCCTCCCCCCTTTTAATTTACTTCTTTGCTGTTTTCTGTTTGCTCTGTGGTTTAATACTTTGTCTCATGACTTTGTATTTCCCCGATGGCCTTCATTCTCTTTCCTCCTGACCTTAACACATCTTTCAAAACCATGGCATGTCCATGAAGCAGATAGCTGTACCCCGCAGTGGAAGGCTGGAGTCCAGGGAGAGCCCTCAGTGGTCAGTCAGAGGAAACTCTGAGGTGTCGTTAGACCTTGGTCATAAGCACAAGTGCAGGTTTTGCAATGTGTTCCCTTCCGTTCACTGTGTCCTTCAGAGCCCTGGGCCAGCAAGCGTCCTCCCCTCACCCCCAGCCTGTCTCCTCAGTGTTCTCTAACCCAGGTCTCACCAGATCCCAGTCTCTCAGGCAGAAGTTAGGGTAGGAGTTGGAACTCTCACTGTGGAAAGAGAACAGTGGAAGTTCCTTGACCCAAGACATGACAGGGAGTGATGGTGTGGAAGACCGGGGAGACTGCATGGTAACTTTGGGGTCCTTGTGGAGACAGTACTTCCCCCGTCTTTGTCTTTCTGACCTGGTGGTGTCAGCTGCCAAAGGCTCTAAGACCTGGTGTTGGTAGAGCTGCCCTGTGGCAGCCTAGTGTTCCCTCAGCGGGAATTCACCAGTGCTTTCTTGAGAGGCCTGTGCCGAGATGCCCTTCTCCCTTTTGGTTCCCTGGGCCACAGTCCAGCCCTCAGGATGCAAGATTGTTTTTCATCTCCACTGTGGCCAAGTCCAGGGCTATTAAAGGGATCCTTTGTTCAGAGCAGATCGGCCGTCTGAGCACTGGGGCTGGCTGCCCATGTGGAGAATGGATGTGCCAGAGGTGGGGGTTTCCCTGCCAGCCTCACCTGGAGGTCAGAAAGGAACAGCCACATAGTTCTCCACCTGAAATTGGAACAGTGCTGTCTGAAATCAGCGCTGTATAGAATGGGATGTCAAGGCATAAGGGGCCAGTGGAGTCTTTTGT